TTTTCTGAATTTGCTTGGGGTCCCTGCAGGTCACTGGACCACGTCATTGAATGGTTTCGGCGTCAGAAACAGTAAAAAACATTTAACATTTGAAACAATCATGAAAAAATCACATTAATTAGAAACGTGAATGGATTGACTGTAATGACTAAGAAGTGTTGAGGGTCTGCTCCCCCCGTGGTGTCGAGGTCGCTCCTTCTCCCACATGTTTCAAATCATTTCAACACAATTCTGCATCAAAAGCCTCAGGAACGATCTGACGTTTGGTACCAGAACAATAAAGGAGCCAACCGGATCAGGTGTCCTGATGCGTATGTAAACGTTTAACTCATTGATTTTAGATTTACGTGTGATTATAACCAAAGAGCCCAGGTCCTCTCACAGGCCCGTGAGTTGTATAACCATGATCTACTTGTGCTTTGAACCATATTTGCTGCTCTGCAGAGTTATAACTGACAGACACACAGCTCGTATGCTCATTATTGACTCGTAGCTCAGTAAACTAACCATATGCAGCAGAGGAACGCTGTACTTCCTCTAAGGTTGATTATTTTTTCATGACTCTGAACCAATTCAGCAGATTAAGGCTGTGATGTTGCCTTTCAGTTGTAGCATGTGGGCTGCCATCAAATCAAATCCCCTGACAGTGGAGCTTTGGCTCCGTCGCTCCCTCGTTAGCTGCTTGAACACACGCTGCTGGAGATAACGAGCTGAATGTCAGCTGATGAAGTGAGGAACTCCAAGTCCTCCCTGAAGTCTCCAGAACACGTTAGGACCCACAGAGGACTGAAGTTTCCTGCAGAAAACCTACAATAAGGTGACGGCTGCGCGGAAATGTCCCTGAAGCTGCGCAGATTTAATTCAAACCTTATACTTTATAAAGTTTGGAAGTATTAAAGTGACACAGAAAACACGTGAAACGACAGAAGAACATTAAAGTCTGCAGGTTATTTTATGAACGAGTCGCTGTTGAAGAGGATTTGACAGCAAAAGGCTTTGGATGAAGCAGCTCTGTGTCCAGCCAGTGATCGCTGTCGGTGCGTTCTTAGAAACAGATCACAGAACGTTCATGCTTTGAATACTTCATCGTTCTGTGCTGCTCCATAACTTCCAACATGATTCACAGACAAGTTGCTGGTCTGAAAACAAGACACGGCTCTTTGCTCATGGACAGGCTGCGATGGAGCATCTCAGCTGAGCATTGTTTGTTTGTTTGTTTGTTTGTCCACAGCTGGAGTAAATCCCCCACCTGCACCTAGAGACTGATAAACATGAGGCATTAATGAGGTGAAATAAATTAGATCATCTGTAAAGTTTGATTTTAGTTTAGTATTTTCTGCCTTCTCCTTTTTGATTGACATGTTTTTTATGAAACTTTATTCGTAAACAACCAGGAAAAGAAAACATGTTAAAATTTATCAGGGGACATCTGGTCAAGGTTTATGTAGGATTATCAGTAACTCATGTTAAATTAATGTTGAGCCGTGTGTGAGTTCAGAGTTCTTTTCCCTGTCAGAGAGCAGCTGATCCTGCACGTGCAGCTGGGAGGCCGAGGTCATCAGTGGCTGTCTGAGGGCTGATGATCGCGTATGGAAACAGTCCTCGCACACTGTCCGCCGCAGAGTCTCGTCACCGGAACCTTCATGCATCTGAGTAAACCTGTGAGGGAAAGTTTGCTCTTACCCGTTAAACCTCGTCCCGTGTCCTCGAGGGCGGAGTCGTTCAGATGAAAACAGGAGATTCTTATTCAACAAAAATGATGATATTATTAAAATAGTTGAATAGATAAAAAACACCGGGCTCAAACTGTCTCAGGTTGAACATCTCATACATGGAAAACAATCCAACGAGTGAACTGTCAACTGATCCCAGGTCAGCTGATTTAAATTAGACTTTGTTTTTTGAGTCTTTAACGAGTGAGACCCACAGAGAGTCCACCTGAAAACACCACATCAGAACTTTAGCTTCAAATGTTCATCCACCATCGTGCTAAAGACCTGATCCAGCAGTCAGTGGCTGAGAGGGACGTTACAGGACCAACAGGACAGGACCACCCCCACAGAACCAATGCCACAGTGTGAGGAGACCCAGACTAAACAGAACTGTGTGTCTCTGGGTTGGTCCAGTCCAAGTCCAGACCTCCATCTAGCTGAAAATCTCTGGATTAATTTTAAGTTTGTTGGACACAATAAGCGGCGTCCAACCTGAAAGAGATGGAGACGTTTGGACACGAAGGATGGACACAAAGTCCAGGTTAGATGGACCAAGATCATAGAGATGGACCTGAAGAGACCTGCTGGACCAGGATCATGGAGACAGACCTGGTGGACCAGGATCATGGAGACAGACCTGATGGTCCAGGATCATGTAAAGCAACAGAAGCTGCAGTGAATCTGTGAGAGCGTCCAGAACCAAGTGGAGTCGTAATCTGAGCCGTTATGATCTGTTGGTTTCCTCCTGCTGCTGTTTGTGGAGGTCACATGAGCAAAGTGCTCAAATATTCATGACGGTCTCAGTTCAGAGCTGATCAATATTTGATTGGATCTGCTCGTTTAACACCTTCAGCATCTGCTGGTGTTGGGAGGATCCTCTGAGACGTTTAGGGTTGTCCCATCAGAAACCAGATCACGCACGTGAGCTTTGTGCCGAGACAGATCCATGATGACGACAGCCGAGTCGTTCTTAAAGCAAACCTGATCTTTATCCATAACTCAGAGGGTGTCGGTCTGAAGAAAGGCAGCGCTCCACGTGCAGCCTCTAAAGTCCACGAGGTTCTGTTAAACACTTGGAGAAACTAAACGTCCTGAAAACAGAATTATTCAACACGTTCATTTTAAACATCCAACTGTTCAATTAAACAACTAAAGATTCACCAGAGACGAATCTGCAATTATTTAATGACCGCTCTGAAAAGTTGTATTCTGGATATTTTCTGCTTTTACTAAAGTAACTCCACAGGGGGAGGGGTGGTGCAGAGGCTAGAGAATGTGGGCCTGCGATCAGAAGGTCGTCGACTCAACTCCCCGGACCGACAACATCAAAATGTGGGTCTGAAAGGTGAAGTACCAAATGTAACTAAAGGAAATGAAAGGCTGGCCCAAATGAGCAAACAGCTAGCTCGTAGCTAAAAGAAGCAAAAAGCTGAAATCTAGAAGTAGCAGGATGTCAGCTATAAATCTGAAGATTAAAAGAGCTGCAGCAGATTTTTAACAATCCTTCTACAGGAACTGATTTTAATGTCTTTTAAATGGTGAAAATATTTATAAATACAGTTAAAGATTTTGAAAAGTATAAAAGTTATTGCAGCGCCCATCAGCTGAACGAGCTGAAGGTTTTGAAACATAAACAGTTAACGAAGTCCGAGGTGACGAGACTGAAAAACAAAAAGTACGGAACAATCAAAAAAAGTTTGTAGGCTCAATCATCCATAGTTAACAACAAAAAGGTTCAATCATGTCATCTGGACCTGTTTCTTTAAGGGATAAACATTTCATCTTCCATCCAGAGGACTTCATCAGTCCATGGCCTGCCAACCAGATGTGTTAGGTAGCCTTCACTGCTGCGTTTCAAGTCAACCTCCTGTTGGAATCTCAGAAACTTTTAACACATGCAAAAGGACCCATCTGTCCAAAACAGTCATCATGAACAACAATCAAAGGTTTGAGGCCACATGGACCACTTGCTTTGCAACTCTCTCTTTATAGGGCTCTGGTATGAACCATAGACATGAAACATGAACCAGGAGGAGCTTTTCTTCTTGGTTTTAATAAATCCATGTGCAGTAAGTGCAACAAAATTATAGGAGTCAGCTTGTATTTCAAATTAGACATTAACTGCAACGTTTTAAATGAATTTGCAATAAAACTAAAGTTAATAGTAAAATTGTTGATAACATCCCTTAGCAAAAAGTAGTTTATTTAAGTGTACTACAAGTATACTTATTTTACACTAAAAATGAGGAAGTGTACTTGAAGTTTACTTTTTATAAACTTTATTTAATTAATATACTTAAAAATAGTATAAAAATGTCCCAATTTAGTCCAAACAAGTATTAAATCAGTATACTTCTATTACACTACAAGTATGGTGTGTAGTATACTTGATATACTTATACTTAACTTAAAGTACACTTGCAAAAATAAACTTCAAATGTACTATTTTTTAAGGGAATTGCAACTATTAAATTTGAGACAAAACACTTCTTGTCCGGTGCACTAAACTGGTGTTCCAAATATTTTTGTCTCAGTCGAGTACCCGTAGTTCCACTCGTTCCTTGGTTGCTTAGTTACAATCTCTGCGTGAACAGTTAGAAATAAACTTTGTTGTTTATTAAATAAATTAAACTAGCGACAAGTAGCTGCATCACGATAATCAGTAATGTTTCTGTGCTAGAGCTGCGTTCCGAACATTTTTGTCTCACTCGGGTACCCGTAGCAGATCCGCTGCTTGTTCCCTGGTCGCTTAGTAACATTTACCAGTTACATCAAACGATTAAAAATTGTTTTTTTTTTTTATTATTAAAGAAACAAAAGTTAAGTGTTTGAATAAGGACCAAACAAACGAGGGCTTGAATTATTTTCTTCTCCATTATTTGTAACAAGATGATCAGTAATGCTAAATTAAAGACGCGTTCTAACTTTTTGTCTCATTTGGAGCCCCGTAGTTTCACCCGTTCTTCGGTTGCCTAGCAACGCTTCTCCAAACGGCAGCAGCGTGAAGATTGGTTTGAAGTTTAACAAATAAAATAAAGGTCAGACGAATTATTTCAACTGTTACCAAGATACTGTGAGGACGTGTTGATGATAAAAACAACTTTGCATTTCAAGCAGAAACCGGAAGCTTCTTCAAAGTTTAGAAGCAGTTTGTCCGAACTGCACGAGCTAACTTCAACAGGTGTAGCCGGCGGGACAGGATGGAGCTGGATGTCCGTCAGTGTTTATCCAAGGCTAAGGAGAACCGAGGTTTGTCGTGGGCTTTGTGCACACACGAAGCTGCGGGGAGGTGTCGTGCTAACTGAGTTCTCTCGGCAGACTGCGGAGCTCTGGAGGCCGCCTTCAGTCTGCTAGGAGGCCGCAGGCAGCGTGGAGCCTCCCCCCCGGAGCTGGTGCTCACCTGCGCCGAGACAGCTCAACAGGTGAGGCTCTGCCTCCTGCTGGACTTCAACCGCGAGCTTCAATTCAGTTCAATATTTAAAAAAGCATCAGTTCAATATTTAAAAAGGCATCAGTTCAATATTTAAAAAGGCATCAGTTCAATATTTTAAAAGGCATCAGTTTAATATTTAAAAAGGCATCAGTTTAATATTTAAAAAGCATCAGTTTAATATTTAAAAAGGCATCAGTTTATTATTTAAAAAGGCATCAGTTCAATATTTAAAAAGGCATCAGTTCAAT